TCACCGCTGTACCCATAATGAACTGTTGTACTACTATATTGAATAGTTCTACTACACCTGTATCATGATTAATCGACTTCTGCTAAATTACATATCGTTAGTTATTGTTAACTAGGATGTATATTCACTTGTGCTGTAATGCTGTTTACTTTATTAATGCTGTTCCTTTATTAATGCTGTTTACTTTTTTGCTGAAAAAATTACTTAAAATTTTACTTTTATTTAAATCAGCAGCCACTCCTTAAAAAATGTGCATAGAGATTAATTAAGAAATTGACCTTAAACAATGAAAGAAGATTCTAGCTACTCTATTACACCCTTCATAAACGTACCTGTTTGTATCAAAGAATCCCATTTCTTGTCTTAATATTGCAGCAAATAACTACAATAAAAATAACCAAAGACACCATAATTACATTGCACAAGCATACATGTACATGTACTTAATGATCGAGTTACAGACATTATTGTACCATTTAAAATTCTAAATTCTAACTCACGTTTTTCCTTATCCTTGCCACAAATCTCTCCCCAGCTAATGTAAAGCAGATAGCTCTAAACATTGAAGCCACTGACACTACAAGAAACAAACCAACCAGAACGAGCACCTCTCTACTCATCAACCCTAAGAGAAAATAACATTAAAACAAATAAATAAATAATAAAAAAAAGTAAATAAATGAATAAATTAATAAATAGAATAGAATAAACAGATGATAATGAAAAGTCTTACATAAGCTACAGTGTGGTACTGGGCCAGTGACATTAATGACACCACTTGATATCTCTTGACTATTGAGAGATTAAAAATATTAAAGAAAAGGAAATTGGTAAGAAGAGAAGTACGAAAAGAAAGAGAGAGAAAGAGAGGAAACCAATAAAAAAGAATAAAGGAGGAAGAGAGAGAATTAAGAGAAAACAAGCTAACACAAGAGCAAAGTACAAAATAGGAAAGACATATGAAGAAGAGACATTCTTTTTACCATAATGTTTGGTTCTTAACAGCCAAATCAATGACGTATCCAAATATATAAGGAATAATTCCTTGAATTGAGTTAGAAATCAGGAGCATTACCAATCCAAGAGATATAAGAGGATATTCCTAATTAAGAGAATACTAACGAGACTGTTTCAATATTTCACGCACTTACAGGTATGGCAAGTTTGATGAGTCGCTTTAAATCGGCTTTCTTTTTCTTAGACTCTCCAGACTCATTCTCATTCTCATCCAGTATCAGTCTCAGTCTTGAAACGTGAATGAGTCGTCTCATGAAATAAAAACTTGCAAGACCCAGGATTATCTCTAGGGTGGGGCTAACCACACCCACTATACAGAGTATCTTGTACGTAATGTGAAGAGATGTTTCAGAGTCCTTCAGTAGTATCAGAGTTCCTTTAGTGAGGGCATAAGCTAGCGACATTAGAGAGAGTAACATGAACAGTACTTGACAGGTTTTTGCTAATCGCTGACTGGAAGAAACCTTAGATCTGCAATAGACATCATACAGGTACATAAAATTAAATTAAAGTAAATTAAATTAATTTTAAAATCTGTACATATACTCACCCACTTGATCAACAGAAATAAACAAACAATAAACAAACTAATAAATATTTGTTTATTTACCTTATTATAGTAGAAGCTGCTGTCAGTGTGTACTGTTCTAAATAATAAACACAAGCAATCAGTAGAGGCCCTTTCACAGCTGCTATACAGGCCAGATCAAAGGTAGAGTCGTATATAGAGAAGTGTTCCACGTTATTCTCCATATAAGAGCTATCACCACCAGCAATCCATAAAGAAATAGAGAGCAGAGAGTCAACGGCAATGATAATGGAGGTTAGAGTGGTGTAGCGAAGGAAGGGAAGGTTGGAAATGGACTTTGTAGGTCTCCTTTTCCCTTGAGGTACCTCCTGTATGTTGGCTGGGAGCTCCATAGTATCAAACTATGCTTCAATGAAGAGCCAATGGAGTCTACTCTACAACACTGCAGAATTAAATTTCAAAATTATGTTACGCCCATCTACTTCAACACCCACGCACCTCATTATTGGATTTAGGATAACAAATACGGTTATCTAAAGTAGGCGGAGCTTTTGGCTAGCCCCGCCTTGAAAAAATGGCTGATTTATTAATCTCATAATATAACAAGTTTTAATAGCCACTCCTTTTAAAATGGCT